ATTAATCCTTATATGCAGACCAACAAATCTGATTTGTCTTGAGTAGCTGAATAGATGTAATGGAATGTTCCACTCTATATAGCATCCAAAACTCTAAACAGAGACAAGTTACCAATAAGCAGTGCTGTCCAGGAGAAAACTGCTTTCTATATCATTAGTAAACAGTGTATAAAATCAGCAGGCTTGGGAAAAAAAAAAATTGACTTCTGAAAAGTCAGGGCTAACATGGATTGTAATGCTAGCATTAGCCTAATAACATTCTACAGTATACTGGCTCGTCCTTTGGAATGAAAAGTAATCCTAAAATTATGAAGTTTTTGTAAAAGCCTTTTGGTTAAAGGTGGTTGCTGCAAAGATGAAATGTTGATGGGGCAAGAACACAAATCCTCATCATAACATGTTCTGCTGAGAGCTTATGACTTATGAACCTGATTATTAACAACTGCTCTGTAAGTTTTTCAGTATTTAGTATCCAGACAATCACAGGCAGAAAAATCTCAGCTATAGGTGGTGATTCCAAATGACTCTGTAAGTTTTGGTGTCATTGCATGGAACTGAAAACATGTGTTTTTCCATGCTGATTGTTATTTCTCTTTTTTCTTTTTTTTTCTTTATTTTTTTTTAATAAACTGGATTTTAAAAAAGCCTCACTAAGTGATTTTTTACACCTTGTGGTGAAAGAATGTGCTGACTTGGGCAGGAGAAGAGTTAATTTTCTTCACAGTGGCTAGTATGGAGCTGTGTTTTGGATTTGTGCCAGAAACAGTGTTGAGATGTTTTTGTTAATACTGACAGCCAAGGCCTTTTCCCCTTTTCATACTCCTCTGCTGGTGAGAAGACTGGGAATGCCTGGGATGTTGGGAGGAGACACAGCCAGGACAGCTGACCCCAGCTGGTATCATGCTCAGTATATAAACTGGGGGGAAGAAGCAGGAAGTGGGAGGACATTTAGAGTGGTGGTGTTTATCTTCCCAGGTAACCAATATGCACAATGGAGCCCTGCTTTCCTGAGGATGTCTGAACACAGAAAATGGTGAATTGATTTCTTGTTTTGCTTTCTTTGCATGTGCAGTTTTTGCTTTACCTATGAAGTTGTTTTTATCTCAACCCATGAGTTTTCTAGCTTTTACCATTCTGATTCTCCTCCGAATCCTGCTGGTGAGGAAATAAGCAAGTAGCTTTGTGGTGCTCACTTGCCAGCTGGGGTTAAACCACAAGCATAAAAGTGAGTTTTGAAGCACTCTATGATTTTGTCCTGCTTGTTAATGTGTTTTGTTTCATCTGTGGCTTTCTCTAGAATTCTGTGTTATATCCATCATGCCCATTATCCTCTTCATATCCTGCTTTGGTTCAAGTTACTAGAGAGAATGTCTCACTTCTCCTTATGGTATGACATGAAAGCTACATCCCACTTCATTATTAAAAATATCAGCTGTGTCAGGCAGATAGACTGTTCATGCTGCCAAGCACATTAATTTTCCCCTCTAGAGTAGTGTAAAAGCAAACCTTGATGTCTCCTGAATCAAATACATGGTAACCTCCTTCAACATAGGCTTCCCACGCCTTTGCCAACAAAATAATCTTCAATCTTCTAAATAAAGCCCAGCTGTTAGTGACATGACTGGCAATAATCACACACATTTTTCATTGTGCAGGCATAATTCAGGGAGGTACATTGCAATCAGAAACTGGAAGCTATTCCTCTAAACAAATCTATTGAATGCCAGTGATGATAATTATTAGTGATTACTCACCAATTGCAAATGTGTTCTAGATTTAGACATTCTAAAATAGGGACAGCATGGCAGTTTTTCACATGGATATGAAGGTTACATTTTTTATTTTAACTTCTAACAATGACTCTTTGTTAAGGAAAAAAAGTAGTGTTCAGTAGTTGAAATGTGGACCACCTAAGTTTAATACTATTTTATGTTTACTTCAAAGGCACATAGTATTTCAAGCTGAATAAAGAAGTTGAACTCAAGGTGGCAGAGAGGGAAGTGTTGCCCTAAAGCCTGTTAAAATAAAGAGTGTCAGATGAAAAATAGTAGAAGACATTTAGACTAGGTCAAAGGAAAAAGGGAAGTTATTATAATTCATTTTTACCCTGGAAGCTATGCCGCATGACATTGTTGGAAGAAATCAGATCTTTTGTGAGACCAGATGGCACAGCTGGAACCTGAAATGGCAGTCCATGTGAAACATTTGAAATCTGTTTTTAATTCCTGTGGGCTTTGTTGCTGTTGTTGTTGCATTCTTTTCATCTGGAACATGGAGCTTGTTTTACTGTGTGATCAGCGCAGCACTATTGTCAATGAAAGGGAAAGAAGAGGAATGCATAAGAAGGAGGAGCACAGTTTTCAATCACTGTTAGGCCTCAAGGGAGGCCTAATTAGGCAAAAAATTAAAGGAGAGCATTTTATGTGCCCCTCTTTTCACTGATCATCCAGGCAAGCTTTGTAGGTGTTAGAGAAAATTTTGAACCTTAAATAGTGTGTTGAAAAGTTGCTTCTTCATTTTCTTACCAATGGAGATTTGGTGACTTCTATGATGCTTTGATTAATAAGATTTTCTACAGCTAATACAATTTAGTAACTATCTCTTATTGTTGTGCTAGTAAATATGCATTCTGTTAAATGGACAATTTCAACTTATTAAATTCTTTGAGAGTTACTGTATATAATTAGACATTGAGATAAGCAGTATGAGCAGGAGCATGTTGCATATGATTTGTGCCCTCAAAGAATGGCTCTAATTTGGTCCTCAAAACACTCTTCTCCCTGGCTGCATTTGTACTGCCACTTCTGTGGCTCCCAGGAGGTCTGCTGTCCACATTCCCTGTGGCAATATGCCCTCTGGACAGCAGCTGTCTGAGCCTGGCTCTCAGTCATACAGGACTTCTTAACTGATGGTGCCCTCCATAGCCTCCTCTGAGACATGGACCAACCCAGCCATGCAAGGAAAAGGAACAAATAAGCCACCACTGTTTGGTCAACTGCTTCTTTACACTCTCCTGTGGTTCCCATTATGGCAAAAAACAATTTTGTGCTGCAGAATCCTCACATGATGGCATCATATTTTTTAGCCAGTACAAGTAAATGAATTGCTGCCATCTCAGCTGTCCTACATGTTTATGATATCCCCATATCGGAAACATAAAATTAAACCACACATTTTAAGCTAACTTAAACACAGGTTTAAGTACTACTGCTGCTCCCTAGGAGACATTTGATTATTGTTAGCCAGTAAGGCTGCAGCTGTGGTTTGACTGACCAAGGGAAAAACTCAGTAGAACAAGAGTTTCTGTGGTCTCCCCACCTCCCACAGCTCCCAGTAAGAGGAATATGTAGTTATAGGCCAAGACTAATCCAGAGAGAAGCCCTTTGACCTTTGGAGGTTGTTCTCTCTGTACACAGACCTATTATAGGCAGGTAGTGTGTATATATTTATATTCTAGATAATTATATGGTCTTATGTGGTTATGCAAATACCTGTGATAGTATCAAACCTGATGACACCCTGCTTATGCAAGTTAGTCTTGTTATCCCATGCTATAGTGTTGTGGCAGGAAAGCCTGGGCAGCCAGCACAAGGTCATCGAGTCAGTATGCACCTGCACAAACAGTAGAACTAGTTACCCAAGATTCCTACTAGTTCTCTATCTTCTGTCTTGTCCATTCTATCCATCTGCCTTTTTATCTGGCTACATCCCAGTGCTTCTACCTTGTTTTCCATTATGGATTTTCTTGCATGCTGGCTCAAGCAGGCATAAAATCTTGCGAATACTTGAGACATGACATTGCATTTCCTAGCCTATCTGTATAAGAAAATCTCAAAACCTAAATCTGCAGGTCTTGTTTGCAGTCAGTAAAGAAAGCATGATCAGACACAACATTCTTAAGCTTCAGCTTGCTGGATCTATAATTTATTTTAATTCAAAACTGTCTCATCAAGAAGATTTTATTTTAAGGACTACAAATATATGGCCTTCTGCTGAGTAACCATTGCTTCAGTGGGGAATAAAAAGCCTGCAAATATATGCTTGGCTTCTCAGCATGACCTAGTGTGGTTCACAGCCATCTGTGTTTACAGTAAGACATCGCCCACGTGCATTAGTCTGTAAACAGTATCAAACCCCAAATTTTTTCTTTTTTTCTCTTCCACTCTCTTCTCTTCAGTGTGTCTCCATATAGGAGACATAAGTGTCTGCAAAAACACCTTTTTTTTGAGGTTGAGGCAATCTAACAGTTCTCTGAGCTAGTACTTCAAAGATGTCTTTACAGTATTAGTAAATGAAAGAATTGTTAGTTGGTTGTTGTTGGTACTAGGTAAGCATTTATTAGCTGCCTAAAACCCTACCTGGTCCTGTAGCAGTGGTTGCATATTCAGACAGCCAGTGGATATTTAAGACCCAGTCAAAACGCCAATGAGAAAAACTCATGAGTTTCCCAAGTATGTGAGGGGTGTTGGAGTGCTGGAACTCCATTTGGGGTCTATTTCTCCATGTCAATTGACTTCAGACTGCCAGCAAACTGTCCTTCAAATCAGTCCTGGTGCCAAGAACAGCCACAAAATTAACTTTTTAGCTCTGTTTCTGCTAGCTACATATATATTTGTGAATACAATTACACAAAAGGCCTAAAACCCAAGATGTCATTGGCAAAGAATGGAATTCAGATCAAGTTAGGACTCAGTATTTTTTGTAAGGTGTTAGGAGCACGCTCACATGTCACATATCATACAGGAACACATTTGTGGAACATGCAAAGCAGTTATTCTTAACATTTCATGAGCTTCAGGACAAGGAAATACTCTTGGGCTTATCCCTGTTCATAAAAGATACATTCCCCATATCTAACAAAAGGCAAATGACTCAACAAGGAAGGAAGTTCTGTGGTTGTTGAAAAGATGAAGAAATTCCAGCATATTCTTACATCACAGCTGGCCATGTGCAGCTCCTGATGCAGAGATTGTCCTGCATTCCTATTCACTGCACAACCACTCCCAGTGCCAGAAGTTGAATTGCTGCTGCCATGGAAGAAGACAAGACATTTGGTGAGAGGGAATCTGAATGCAAAACATGTCCATGACAAGTCTATGTAAATGCATATTATGCATGGTGGCATGAGAAGCAGCTCACTGATTGCTGTCAGCCAACATTTCCAAATTTTCCCTTTTTTTTATTAAGTCTTTTGTGATCTCCAGGCATTGACTGATCGGATTTGAAAGGTCAAGGTTTTGGATGGCACTGCAGAATCTGTTGCCTGCTTACCACATGCTTCATTTTGACTTCCTTGAACTGATAGGAATAATGTAACTGCCCTGCTTAAACCTTAACTATTTCTTGTCTCCCAAGTGTATTGAGAATAAATTGTTATGAATCTAATGAGATATAAGGACTACTTAGGAATTACCTTAAATACACGGTTATATAAAGCAAATATGCCATAAATCTTGGGCAGATACAAGGGCATGTGATAGACTATCTCAATCCCTGGCAAGGTTATGGAGCAGATCATCTTAAGAGTGATCACATGGAACATTCAGGACAACCAAGGAATCAGACCTAGCCAGAATGAGCTTAGGAAAGGCAGGTCCAGCCTTACCAATCTGATCTTCTTTTATGACCTGCCTGGTAGATGAGGGGAAGGCTCTGTCTACTTGTACTTCAGCAAAGTCTTTGACACATTTCTCACAGCTCTCTCCTGTAAAAGCTGGTAGACCGCAACTTGGACAAGTGCACCCATCACTGGGTTCAGAACTGGCTGATGGCCAGGCCCAGACAATGGTGAATGGTGCTGCATCCAGCTGGTGCCTGCTCACTGGCTGTCCCCCAGGGATCTGTGTTGGGGCCAGTCCTGTTTAGTATGTTTACTGGTGATCAGCATGAGGGGATTGAGTCTACCATTACCAAATTTGCAAGTGACACAAAGTTGGAGTATTGGTCTCTGTAGGGTGGGAAGGCTCTGCAGAAGGAGCTGGAATGGCTGGAGAGATGAGACAAGACCAGCGCCATGACATTCAACAAGGCCAGGTGCTGAGTTCTGCTTTTTGGCCACAACAACTCCAGGCAGTGCCACAGGCTGGGGCCACAGTGACTGAAAGGTGCCCAGCAGAAAAGGACCTGAAGGTGCTGGTGACAGCAGCTGAACATGAGCCAGCTGTGCCCAGGAGGCCAAGAAGGCTGATGGCATCCTGGCCTGTACCAGCAATGGTGTGGCCAGCAGGAGCAGGGCAGGGATTGTCCCCTGAATTTTGGCACTAGTAAGGCCACACCTCCAATTCTGTGTTCAATTCTGGGCGTCTCAATTCAGGAAGGACATTGAGGTGCTGGAGCATGTCCAGAGAAGGTCGACAAGGCTGGTGAAGGATCTAGAACACAAATCCAGTGAGAAGCAGTTGAGGGCGCTGGGGTTGTTTAGCCTGGAGAGGAGGAGGCTCAGGGGTGACCTTATCTCTCTCTATGACTGCCTGAAAGGAGGCTGTAGCCAGGTGGGGGTCGCTCTCTTCTCACAGGCAACCAGCACTAGGACAAGAAGACACAGGCTTAAGCTGTGCCAGAAGAGGTTTTAAAATGGACATTAGGAAGAAATTCTTCATAGGAAGAGTGATTAGGAATTTGAATGGGCCAATTCCAATTGGCCAGGGAGATGGAGAGTCACTGTCCCTGGAGGTCTTCAAGGAAAAACTGGATGTGGCTCTTGGGGCCATGGTTTAGCTGGCATGAGAGTAATTGTTCAGTGTTAGGTCGGACCCAATGATATCAGAGGTCTTTTCCAATTTAATTGATTGTGTGATTCTGTGATAGACCAACAGACAGAATAGAGAAAAGGATACATCAAACAAATATAAGAAAATTACAGTAAAAAAATCGATGATGATTTACAATATTTTAGGTAACAATAACTTATGCAATGGAGAATGAGAAGCTGCTTATCCTACTGGCTTTCACTAGTTGGTGAAGCAACTGTCAGCAGTTTCAACAACTGTAAGTGTCTGGATGGGTAGTCCTATAATAACTAACTCACTTTGCATTCATATCTCACAGTATCTTGTTAGTGCACCCATATTCTGAGGATAAGTTGGCCCTTCATATACTGGAATTGAAAAGGTCTGCCCTGGCTCAGTCATGTGATGCTGAATTATTTCTGAGAGTGAGCACCCTGAAGAAATACTAAACTGTAAAAATCCAAATGTAAAATCAGGGCTTTTAAAAGCGGGAAATGAGATTGGATCAGTTCATGAAAAACTTTGAAATACTCTAAACTTTGCCTTCTAAGTGAAATAAAAAGACAAAATGTTTCTTCTTATTAAATTATTATGTTTTTCAGTTAAAAATTAATTTTGAAAGCTTTTTTGGCTTATCAACATAGAAATAGATTTATTTAGCTTATCAGTATAGAAACTAGAAACAGGCAAAATATTATCTAGTCTATTCATGCCTTTCATTCTGCTGCAACACAGAAAACCAAATCTATTCTGTCCTAGTAGAAAATCTCCTTGTTCAATAAAATTAGTTTTGTGGCTTTGAATGGAAACAGTAAACGCTATGAAAAGTCTGAGCTGTCTCTTTATCAGTGTGAGACTTAATTTTCTTACCAAAAACTGTTCTTTGCATAATTGATAGGAAGACAAATCACTCTGTCTCCCAGAGGATCTCATATCTTGCTACAAGAACATAGTTTTTTTTTTTGTCAGAATACCTCTGTGCCCAGCCAGTTTATTGCTCAGATGAAATCTTCTCCTCTTATCTGTCTGTAAACCAAACTTGGAACACTGAGAAAACATTCTCTTTAGAACTTGTATATTAATCCCTGACTACATTCTCTTCAATATTTGGTATTTTGCTGAGGTGTGAACAGAAAATTTTCTTTAGGTTATATGTGTCCAGTAAATGAAATGCTCATTTGGGAAATATCTACCCTTTGTTTGATGTTTTGACGTCTCCTGGGTTTGTGCCACACAAGCTGAGGACACTAATCAAGCCAGAATTACTTGAGATAATTTATCTTCATTGCAGACAGAGGTGTCCATATGCATTCCATTCATCCAAGAGAATTTCTAATGGTTTCCTGGCTTTTCTATTCAAAGTAAATGCATACCCATAATACACTGATTTCCCTGTCAGGGTCTACATGTAGCCTCTAGTCAGCATATGACTAAATCAAGTATTTTCACAAAGAGCATAGCTACAGGAGGGTTTTCTGCAGGATGTGTTAGCTAATTTGTCTCAGAAGCCCAAAATTAGCTGTAAAAAGACTGTAAGTTCATCAGATGCTTGCTTTTTCTGCATAGTCCTCCACAAATCCACTTATCCTCAGATCCATTTGTGAAGTATTTACCTTAATTTCTCAGTTCTTTCAGATAGTCTGCTAAATCAGTGGAAAAGTGAGCTCCCACAAATTACTGTGTTAATGTTTTGATACAGAATGCATACTTTCAACCCTACTTGAGGAACAGTGGAAAACTGCTGCACACCAGAGTGGCATGGATGCATATTAGTGTGGGCACAGCATCATCCTAACATGCCTAATGGGCTCTTGATTAGAGCCAGATAAGATACAACCAACATAAAATGTGGACAAGGCAGGCTGGGATTAATCTATAACTCCATCCATATGCTAAACCTATTAATAA